AGATGTCTAAAAAATGCTGGAGAGGGAAGAGGAGTAACAGGCACAAACTATTACGTATAAATAAGTGACAAGGGCATATTGTATAGCATAGGGAATATAGCTAATATTTATAATAACTTTAAATGGAGTATAATCTTTAAAAATATTGAATCACTATGTTGTATGCCTAAAACTCTCATGATATAAATCAACCATACTTCAACAAAAAAGAAAAGAGGGGCTTCCCTGGTGGTTCAATGGTAAAGAATCCGCCTGCCAATGCAGGAGACACGGGTTTGATCCCTGGTCCGGGAGGATCCCACATGCCATGGAGCAACTAAGCCCATGTGTCAGAACTACTGAGCCTGTGTCTAGAGCCTGGGGGCCGCGGTCACTGAGTCCATGTGCTGCAACTGCTGAAGCCTGCACTCCTTAGAACCCGTGCTCTGCAATGAGAGCGGCCACTGCAATGAGAAGCCCACGTACCTCAAGTGGAGAGTAGCCCCACTCTCCGCAGCTAAAGGAAAGCCTGCTTAGCAATGAAGACCCAGCACAGCCAAAAATTATAAATCCTTGGGTCTTTTTAAACTTTACCTGCTGTGATACTGTAGAGTACAAATGATGCTAAATCAGTAAAAATAAACCTACAAACATTTCATTTTCCAAATGTATATAAGGTAAATAGTTTCAAGGGTGTGTGTACATATGTATATACACACACACACACATATATATAAACTTAGGTAATAGGATATACATATATATATATAACATACATACATACACCCTGGAGATATATATATATATATATATTCCCATTCCTTAAATTTTTAGCAGTTACATTTGAATCTCAAATATCCTTTAAAGTCTACCTTGCAAATAATAGTCAAGAATCTATCAGGTCGTCAAATGTCATGGCAGCTTCCCCAGCTACATTTATGTTAAACAATTTTGCTGATTGGGCAAAGAGCTACTTGCCAGGCTAGAAAATGTGATTACAACAATTAACTTTTTGTTTAAAAATCAAATTATATAGTCAACACATTATGATTGGATGTTTAGAGACAGAATATTAATTTACTTAACACCAAAGAGTTCAGAAGTAATGAAATAAAGTCCATCTGTTGGAGGCCCCACACTTTAAACTTACGATACTTCAATGTTAGCTCAGCGAATGCTGCACGTTTCAGGCATGTGGGTAAGATCTAAGAGCTGGAGTGAGACATTATCCTTCAAAACTTATCAGTAACACTGCCCCTTAACAAGCCACAGTGGAGGATGTCCTCACTGACTCCAGAGAGCAGTCTATGTTAATTACTTGTAAATGGGCAAAGCCAGGCAGCATGAACTCACTTACAGGTGAGGCTCAGACTTACCTAAAGTGCGAAAGTGAAAAAGTCATATAAGATAGACTAGATGGTAAATAGCAGAGAAAAGCTACTTCTAATAGTGAAGTCTCTTGACTAGTGAGTCTCCCTTCCCCTTTAGGTAGTTTTGGAGCAGACTTTCTAAAATTTAAAGGATAAGTAAGAGTTATTCAAGTAAAGAAGAGAGTTAGGGACACCAGGCAGTTGGAAGCATGCAAAGGCTTGGGGCAGAGACAGCAAGCAAGCGAGCAGGGCAAGCCTGAGAGCCTGCCAGTCAGTATTTCTGCACATCTGAAATGCCAAGTACAGGGAAGGGAATGGGGCCAACTGAGCCAGGAGAGGGAAGCAGGGCTGATCCTCAGTCTAAACAAGAAATTCAGATTTGATCCTAAAGGATTTTAAGTAGGGAGAAGCTGTTGTGAGGAAACGCTATATGAGCAGTAACTATTATCGTATTGCTTGATAGTATTGCACCTTTTCTCACTTAACAGTTTATTCAATATAACATTAACAGACATTCAACATAATTAAAAATTTCTTAGAAATCACTTTTTCAAATTAAATGGCTGCATCATACTTCACTACTATTGTTAAGATACTTAGATTTTTTGGTATTGAAAATAATCAGTGAGTATCTTTATACATAAATTTTAGAGCTCATCTCTCATGGATTCCTTGGGAACTTCACATTAAAATCACAAGGGACGAACACTCTAGACTTAAAAATAAATGTACCAGTTTACATTCCTATTGGGCTGTCCCATTAGCCCAGCTTCCTGGGGCCTAGCAGGACATCCCCCACTACAGGTTGATTGCATAGACCAACACTCAAAGGGGCAATATTATTTATAAATCTTGAAAAATGATGTCTCACTACAGCTAGCAGATGTTGCCCACTGGCCTGAAACATGCATGGCATTATTCTCTGGGCTAATATTAAAAGTATCTTAAGTTTAAAATGTGGGGCCTTGAGTGGTACCGTATATGGTTTTCTTCTGAATTTTTGTGATGGTAATATAGATTACTAACATAGTAAGTATAGATTACTTAGTCTTAGCCAAGAAAGATTACTTTTAATTTGCTCCTGAGACATGAAAAATGCTATTATGTTTTGAATTTACATGTCTTTCTGACTAGTAAGATTGGAGACGCAGTATATCTTTTGTCCATTTCTTTACCAACTAAGAGGTGTTAATGTCTTACATATGGATGTGTAAGGCCCTGTTATGGTAGACATGAATCATTTGTTCTAAATATTTCTTCCCAGTTGACTTTCAGCCTTGTCTTGTGCAATCTACAACTTTAAAACTTTTTACTATGTCACACTTTCAATCTTATTATTTCACTCAACAAACTTATTGAACACTAGCTACATGCAAGGCAATTTTCCTGCATCATCAATGAATAAAATAGTAAGAGATCTCTGGCATGTGGCGTTTACATTTTAGAGGGAGGAGACAGATAATAAATGAGAAACAAAATAAAAAGGTAAATTATAGTATATTAGAAGATCAATACTATGGGAAAAATAATAGAGAGCAGAAGGAATTGGAGATGGGATGGAGGGAATGTAGGTTGTAATTTTAAATACAGTGTTTAGGTCCCATTGAAAAGGTGACTTTTGAGCAAGGATTTAAAATTAAGTTACCATACAGATAATCTGAGGGAAGAGCATGCCAGAGTAAATAGCCAGTGCAAAGGTCTCGTGGCTAGAACATGCCACGATGTTCTAGGTGAAGTCAGGGATATTAATGTGTGTGTATGAGAACATGTAGGCTATTATAAAGACTTGGGTGAGATGAAGGGTTCTGAGTAGGGGGTGTGCTTTATGTTTCAAAGGATTACTGAGTGCTGTGCTCAAAACAGAACAGTGGTAGTAGTGAGGGTGGTCTGATTCTGGATGTGTTTTAAAAGTGTAGTCAACAGGATGTCAGATGAACTGGTGGTGGGGTTGAGAGAACAGGAGCAAGGCCAACTGGGGTTTTAGTCCTGAGCAACTGAGCACATGGAGTTGCCAGCAATCGAGAAGATGAAGACTGTAAGAAGCTTGTTTGTTTTCGTTCCTGGGAATGATCCAAATATCAGTTTTGGACTAACTTGAAGATGTCTATTAGATATCCAAGTGGAGATGGCAACTAGGCAGTTGAGTCTAGAGTTCAGGAGAGGTGTGGGTTAGAGATATATATCTGGGAATGATCAGCAGAGATAGTGTTAAAAACTGCGGGGCAATTGAGACTTATAAGGGAGTGAGACAGCGACAGGAACCCATGGCTGGAGCCCACAGGCCCTCCTCAACCTGGAAGAGGAAAAGGGACCAACAAGACTAGGAGACACTGGAGTGAGTCGAGGAATGGTGGCATCTAGGAAGCCAAGGAAAGAACATGCCACTGATGGGTCAAATAAATGTGGCTCGTGAAGTGGACTGTGGGTTTAGCAACAGGGGGTTGGTGAATAGCACCATCTGTGACTTCTTGCACTGCTTTCATGTATTTGTAAATTTTAAAAATATATTTAAATTTGTATATATTGCTGAAATACATATTATTTTCATATTTAATTTTTCTACCACTGATTATAATAATCCATTTCTTCACTATGAGCTTGTTAGTCTAACTTCTGATGAGCAAAGATCCATATTCCTCCACCCTTGAGCATTCTGGACTCATTTACATAAACTGAGTTAATGGGATTGTGGAACAAACATGTGCTTTTTTTTTTCCATTTATTTTTATTAGTTGGAGGCTAATTACTTTACATCATTGCAGTAGTTTTTGTCATACATTGAAATGAATTAGCCATGGATTTACATGTATTCCCCATCCCGGTCCCCCCTCCCACCTCCCTCTCCACCCGATCCCTCTGGGTCTTCCCAGTGCACCAGGCCCGAGCACTTGTCTCATGCACCCAACCTGGGCTGGTGATCTGTTTCACCCTAGATAATATACACGTTTCGATGCTGTTCTCTTGAAACATCCCACCCTCGCCTTCTCCCAGAGTCCACAAGTCTGTTCTATACATCTGAGTCTCTTTTTCTGTTTTACATATAGGGTTATCGTTACCATCTTTCTAAATTCCATATATATGTGTTAGTATACTGTAATGGTCTTTATCTTTCAAAAATATGGAACGCTTCACGAATTTGCGTGTCATCCTTGCGCAGGGGCCATGCTAATCTTCTCTGTATCGTTCCAATTTTAGTATATGTGCTGCCGAAGCGAGCACAAACATGTGCTTTTTAAATGTTACATCTAAACTGATTACAACGGCAAAACCTTGAGATTGTTATAAATTATGACGGACTTTAGTTTTGTTCACTTCATGCATAGGGACAGTCACACTTTTACTAAGCAACCCAGAAATTGTTACCTTCTGATCAAAAGTGTACTTTCCTCCATGGAAGTGTAGAGAAAGAAAGGTAAGCATGGAAACAAAATCCTTACTTTTGTTGCTGAAAATTTCCCTTATTTGACCTTCAGGAGAAAATGCTCAAGAACAACTCTGCAATGATTCAATTCTTACTCATTCACAGTGCTTAGAGGACATCTTATTTCCAATATTCTAAGAAGTTTATTTTTTAAGGACAAATTTTAAAGTAAAATTTGATGTCATAACTTCAAATAATTATTTCATTTTGTTTTGTGTATTTATTTGCAGGCGACTCAAATAGAAAAAGCAAAGTCCCCCGTTCAAATGCAGCATCAAATTCAACAAATGAAACGTTCTATGAGGCTGATGATATAATTCAAGAAAAAACAATGGATACGACACAAATCAACACTGCTTATTGTTAAAAATCCTGTGCTGTAAAAGCTCACTGGAGAGATGGAGCAAAAAAATAAACAGTGCACTTCAAATACAGTTTGTAATAATACTTTTCAAAAATTTGCCACACACAAAGCCAGACACAGTCACAGTTTTGATCATTCAGTTAATTTATTAAATATCCACTAGGTTTCTGATAGATTTCCATGTGAGTAAGTTTACTTTTATTTGCTAATTAATGTTGTTTCTACATTACATGAAATTATGCTAACATTTCAGGAGAAATTATAGAATTTATCAGTAACACAGATTAGCACACCTATGTCAGTGAGGAACAATGTGAAGTTTATGTCACATTACCAGAATTTCACAAGTTTCTCATTCTTGGAGGCAGTTATTTTTATAAGAGATGGTACTAGATAAGGTAAATCTCAGAGAGGTGGCCTTATGAACGAGAAGTGGCATGTTCTTAAGTCTCTTAGAAATCAACCCACGCCTTTTTCAGAGGATTTGCTGAGCACACAATGTATTATTGCCTTTATAAAAACTAATATTCGATAACAAAATATATCATCATGTATAATCTGCATGATAAATGTTTTCTGTATACCAAGGGGTAATAACAAAAATCCTTCACTGATAAAAGTTCCTAAGGAATTTCTAGAATGAAATTATAAAGCAAACAAGTTACTTTTCTGGTCCCACCTAAGTCTACTACCATTTAGACATCTAGAAATAAAACTACAGTTTCTGCAAATTAAACCTGCTTTAAAAGATTTTTATTCATAAATATGATTTCTATTATAAGAATGGAGACCTGGTCCTATAATGGAATTCAATAGGAAAAAAAAGAATTAATTTTAAGCTGGCTCTGCTAAACGTATCCACTGTGTTGTACAAAGTTTCTGTAGTTGGAAGACTAGCCTAGCAAGATGTGCCAAATACACTCTGATTTGTTAGGGTAGGGGGCACGTAAGGAATGCTTTATTTCTCTTTGGCATGAAAAGCTCAGGGTTAGAAACTTTTGATCATTAGCCTGTCAAAATTTCTACCAAGAATTGGGAATTCTAGCACTGTCCAGTAGAGGTTTATGTGATGATGGAAATGTTCCTTCTGTATCAGTCTTGTCTGGCAAGGTAGCCACCAACCGTATGTGGCCGCTGGGCACTTGAAATGTGGTTAGTGCAACTGAAGAAATACCTTTTCATTTAATTAATCTAAATTTCAACAGCCACGTGTGGCTAAATTGACAGCAATAATTCCAAGTCATTATTGCAACATCCTACTGCCTGTGTTGTATTTCCAGTTCAAAAGGAACACAGTTTTGCCAATGTTTAAATGTTAAAATTGCTTAGTGTGTGAAGTCTGAAAGTTGAAACATTTCCACTACAAAAATGACATTTTATGTGGTTATAAAAGCAAAGAATTTTCATTTATTTTTTGAGAAAGCACACAAAGCGTTTGTGGGTAGTTCTTGATATCAGATCCAGCTTTGATGAAAAAAAAAAATCCCAGACAATTGGCTACCTTGATACACAGATAATAATAGTTATATTACTAATTAGATGTTGCCTTAGGTGAAAATCTCAGTTGAGAAAGTTAGTTAAGGCAGTGGTCAGTCTATTTTTGTTGCGTAAGGGCAAGAGCAGAGGCCATAAAGAATAAGCAGCAGGAAACTTAAGACGGGCAGGGCCAGCAAAATCCTCCTGATTCCCGACTCTTCCCAACCTTTCGGAAAGGCAAGCTGGGGTTGGGCATGCATCATGGGTTGTGCTCTCAGGGAGGCAACCCAATTCTCTGGCACTCTGCAAAATTCTGGAGGAGTTAGAGGAGACAAATGAGGTCTGAAGACCCTGGGCTTTGCAAGTGAAAGTATCACTTAGTGGGCATAAAAGACCCCTACTATTCTTGGATGCCAAATGCCCGGGAAAAATTAGCACTCGTATTGGCTGAAGTCTGTGGCGCACTCCCTGCTGAGCCGGGGAACCCGAGGGGGGAGCGACAGGGCTCACGGAGTGGACCAACTGTGTGTGACACTGTGACTTTGAAGCAGCTGTGCTTCATAATACTCACTATATGGAGACAAGATATTAAAAGAAGGCTTACTGAATTATTATAGTCTGTACATTGAAAAATATATTTTAAATGATTAATTTTGACCAAAAATACTAACATTATGACAGAATATATTCTGTCCAAACTAACCTAAACTAAAACTAAAAGCAAAGCATTCCAAATTATGTACCATTCTGGGGATGGGTCTGATAAAGAAGACAGTAGCTTTTTAAAAAACTTAAGTTACTGTAGCTTTTAGAAATAATCAGAACTCAGAAAGAAAAGTGGGCCTAGAATAAGACACCAAATAACAGAAAATCAAATTTTCAAATTATTCTTTATGTGGGCTTCTGATGAAAGCAAGTTCATCCTTTAAAAAACTGTGAATTGGATTATGAAATGGATGGAACCAAACCCCAATAAAAGTCACTTCTTTCCTTGTTCATTGTTCAGTCACTTAAGTTGTGTCTGACTCTGCAACCCCAGGGACTGTAGCATTTCTTTTCTTAAAACTCTCTGGTGGGGTCTCTTGCTTACAGATAAAGTCCAAGCTCCCAAACATGGTACATAAAACTTCTTTCTCTTATACTAAGAACCTAGAATGGTGGTCTTGATTCTTACCACTCCTGTCCTACACAAGGCTTGGAATTCTTGACACACACACCCCAGCCTTGTCTGTTGTGGGCTTTGTTCACAGCAGCTTCTTCTAACTTCTCCAGACTCTTAGGTACTCCTTGAAGTCTTCCAATTACTGCACTTAGTACCTAATGATGAGTTTTCTGATTCCCCTATTAACTAAACTCTGAATTCCTTTCAGGGAAGCAAATGTGTCTTATTAATCTCTGTATCCCTGGTTAGTGTTTGCCATGCTAAGTTCTCAATAAATGTTTACTGAAGAAAGGACTCAATGGCATTTATCTTGACTATTAATGATAACTCATTACCTAGTTTAAGTAACCTAAGGCATGTAATTTGAGAGGCTCATAAATACAGATACACACAGTTGTTTTACTTATTGATGTTTTAGCCTCAAAGAACCAAAAATGTAAACAGATACGTATTCTGTGACAAACGGGCGATCTCTCTGAGAGGTTTTAGCCAACAGATGATATGGAAAAAAGAAATAGGGAACTGGGGAGGGTGTAGGTCCATCAGCTCAAAAGCAATAGTCTCAAAATGTTCAGATAATTGGGTTACAGATACAAATCTAAAAATAAATTCTGTCTGCCTCTAGTGAAAATGGCATACACTGAGTGGTAAGGATGTGAACCAAATGTCAATTATCTGCTTCGAGAAGTGACATGTGTTTAACAGCTATATTAATAAATTCAACCTTTACCATTATAGAATGCTACCTGCTTATCTGCAGCAATTTCTAAATGAATATAATAATTTATATTCCTAAATGAATATAATTTCTAAAATAATAATATTTGAATTTTACTAAAACATTGATAATCATATATGTTAAGGATTACAAGGGATCTCAGAGATAATTTGGTACAATATTTTATAGATGAAAGACATCAAAGTCCAGAGAAAGTAAATGACTTTGCTGAAGGTCACACAGGTAGTCAGAATGACTAGGATTTTTGGATTTTTTACTACCAAGTTCAATTTTCCTTATGCTACATATTGCCTGAGAGGAAATGTCACCAATTTACCCCTGCAATATATTAGTAAGATTTACATCCAATCCCAATAATAACAAGATCACTGTAGTAGAAATTATTTTAGTAAAAACAAATGTATTTTATTCAGGTGAGATCTTTCATAAACTATTCTCATACTATGGGAAATTTAATCAAGAACAATTCCAAGATTTTTTTCTGGGAGTAAAAAAAATTACACAACATTAAAATCTTTCAATTTGCAAACTTTAGTAGTTAATGAAGGCCGAATCTTATACAACTCTCCTGAGCCACTGAGTATGCCACCATTCAAAAAACAAATCTGACAAGCCAATTTATTGTCTCTATAATTAACAGAAATAAAACTTACAAATAACTGGATTAACTCTGTGTCACTACAATGATCACTTTTAACCACATTACACCCTCAATACAGTTGAGACCATCTATTTGCATGTAGCACTTTCTAATCATCTTTATAAAGTTGGAATTTTTTTTTTTACTTTTTTTTAATCCTGATAACCAAAGGACTGTATTTTCATAAAGTACCATTTTAAAAAATAAACTACAGCAAAGGCAAAACAAACCCTTAAAAACCTAACAGCTCTGTGTTTCTCTCCAAATAACTGACTAGCACATTTAAACAAGTGGATGTCTTTTAAAGGAGGCCACCAGACTAAGCTGGGTTATTGAAAAGCTCCAAGTGTGGCAGCATCCGTGACTGCAATTCTACAACAGGGATGTGGACGCAGCTTCCCTAGAGTCTATGCCTGGTAAGCACATGCTCAGAGGAGCTATGAGGCTCTCCCAGTCTTACTGAGGTCATGCCAGCTAGGGCTGCTGGGTGAAGGAAGAATCAGTCCACCTTTCCAGCCTGTGAGGTTATGTACACTTACCTGATTTCATCATTATGAACACACCTACAGCCACATCTGTAGGCTACCAATTTGTAACTGCACCACAGTGAGGTACTCGGAAATCTTTGGTGCTGTGCCATGATAACTAGCTGACGTTCGATGCTGCTACAATAAAAAGTATTTAACTTATAGGACGTAAGGGATATTGGAGTGTTCCACAAAGTAAGTAACACTAACACTGATCATTGTGAAATTTTAAAAAAATGTAGAAACATTTATACCTACTACTATGTGTCCAACAATGCTGACTCATACAAAATTTTCATTATTATATAAAGGCTTTCATGATGCAACTCCCTGGCTCTTAAATTTTAAAAAGTACAACGAATAAAATTCTTGATCCTAAATTTTTGTCACTGCTCCTGAGATTTATGACTGAAGTAAGAGAAACACCCCAAACTGGTCATATTATGAAATCATAAATTC